AGCAACTAAGCCCGTGCACCACAACTACTGAGCCTGTGTGCCTAAAGTCCGTGCTCTGCAACAAGAGAAGCCACCGCAATGAGAAGCCCACGCACCACAACGAAGAGTAGCCCCCGCTAGCCGCAACTAGAGAAAGCCCGCGCGCCGCAGTGAAGACCCAACGCAGCCAAAAATAAACAAAAAATAAATAAATTTATTTAAAAAAATAAAATAAAAATAAAATAAAATAAAAGTGCTTAAGTAGGGGCTTCCCTGGTGGTGCAGTGGCTGAGAGTCCGCCTGCTGATACAGGGGACACGGGTTCGTGCCCCGGTCTGGGAAGATCCCACATACCGCGGAGCTGCTGGGCCCGTGAGCCATGGCCGCTGAGCCTGCGCGTCCGGAGCCTGTGCTTCGCAACGGGAGAGGCCACAACAGTGAAAAAGTGCTTAAGTAAAAGATCATGAAAATCATGCATAAAAACAAAAAAGAGGTTGATCATTCTATTGTTGGAACATTACAGAATTTAATTCCAAAAATGTTAAAAAATTATTCAATTAAATGGCTACTCATCTGGGAACAGTTTCATTACAGGAAATAAAGTAGATTTCTTTCCTGAATAAAGAGAAATACAGTGTGATAGAATCAGGAACCATCAAGAAAAACTCTTTTGTTCCTTCCTCACTTTCATAAGTGTAGTTCAGAATTATTTCTGTGTATTTAAGGAAATTCCCAACTTCTCTCTACAACTATAACTTCCAGGAAAACCATCTGCAGTCAGAGAACTGATGAATTCTGAAAGTAAAAGTCCCATTAGTTCCTCTCAGATCAATCATCATACTATCCCATTCACCTTTCACAGTAAGCAGATTGGTTAAAAACAAATTTCTGCAATACTCTTGAAATGCAGGAGACAAGGAGCGAAAATAATATACCCAAAGCTAAGGAGCCTTGCCAGTGTTTTCCAGTAAATCCTTTATAGATCTATCACTGTTGTCCAAACCTGAGGCAGAGGCCCTGAAAGAGTAGTATAAGTGCCAGAACCTCCTATATTTTTATAATTCAGGCATTTCAAAATTTAGAAATTAATTCTGGTACTTTCCAGTTGTACACTTAATACTATTTTAACAAAATATTTCCTGTCAAGGTACCATTATCTTCTTGTTATTAGGAGAATAATAAATTTATAGATTCATACAGATTTTTATGCTAAAAGACTTACAATTACTATTTTTCCAAAACATCTTTCATTTTTAGGCTTGAATTAAATCTGATATTTTAAGGAACATTTTACACAAAATGTGACAGAAAACAATGCAGAAACGATATTTCAGCCTCTACTCTGTGCTCTAAAAGTACTGTGAACTTACCTCACGGAATTTTTTTCATTCTTTTATATCAGACTAAACCATATGAATTTGCAGACATTAATCATTTTGATCTACAAAAATGGCAATTTTATATGGTTTAACTTCTTAGCTGCACATGTATTTATTTGCTCCCCAACTGTAAGCAACTTGAACGTGGAAGGCTATACATTTTTTGCCTTTCTATCTCAAGAACATGGCATGCAGGACTGACAAATAGTTGACATACAATAAATGTTTGTTATAGTCAAATGAATGAATAAGTGAACTGTCCTCAGAATTCAATACATTTAAAATAAATTGGTAAAGAAAGGAATGTTCTTTTACTTTCCTGGGATGTAGCCCCCAGAAGGACAAATACCCCATTCAAAAGAAAGCTGAGGATTGTTTTATTTTATTTTGTTTTGCTTGTATTTTAAAGTTATGTTTACACAGTGGCAAATATTTAAATGACTGGCTCTGTATTTTACTCTCATGTATAAATTTTAGTGCGTAGATACAGTTTAAAAGTGAAACATAATTACAGGTATAGAATTTCTATTATTTTTACATACATTATACATCATACAAATAAAATCTATTCCAGTGCTTCCTGATGTGATGGCATAACAAATATGTGAATTCCTGAGTTTAAATGCTTATAATTTGTGAGAAATTATATTAATTTCAAAGGATAAATGAATGAAACATTCCTCTCATTAGAGCTAAGGAAAATAGGATATAGTCATCTGTGGGAAAAATGCAATACACAGTGGTTTTGGTCTAAGAAACTGGAAATTTCTTAATTTTTTCCTACTTTTACATTTGTAAAGTTATCCTTATTGTCACATGCTTTTACACAATGATAATCCTATATATTGTACAACACAGGAATATAACTAATATTTTATAATAAGTGTAAATGAACTATAATCTTTAAAAATTGTGAATCACTATGTTGTATACCTGAAACTTATATAATATTGTTCATCAACTATACCTCAATAAAAAAATGATATTCCTTGCATTATTTGTTGCCTATTCACCTGCATGGCTTTCTGTCTAAACAAAACCTACTTCTCCATAAGGCTTGCTTGTGAGGTAAAGAGCCCAGCCTGGTGCTCATTCCTGCAGTGCTAGGCCCAAAGAGAGCCCCAAAGGTGCCTGATTAGGGAATTGTGGCACTGGAGAGATAACATAGGGACATTGGAACATTCTAGGAGCCATTTCTGGAGCTTATAAGTGTATGTCGAACATGTTACATAGCGTCACATTTTATGTAGTCCTCACAACAACACTACGAGATAAATATTGTCATCTCTACACTGCAAGATAATTATTGTCATCTCTATCTTACAGATAAGCAAGCTGGTTCAGAGAATTTTGTTTGTCCATGTCACTCAGCTAGTATGCAGATCTCACTCTCTACAAAGCCCACTGTCCTTCCACCACACTGTGCTGCCACTGTGACAGCCTTCCATAACTCCAACAAATACTTACTGGTACTTACTCTATGCCTGGCATTGTACTAGACAGTGTGCCTCGGCTTCAGGAAACTTAGTGTGGAAGAGACAAAAAATAAACAAATAACTTTTCCATATATACTGTCCAGTAGTGATAAAGTAAAATGAGTGAAAACCAACTCAGCTTAAAAGAATAGCATGTGAGGGTGGCTGCCCTTCAGGTAGGGTGGTCAAAGGAGGCATTTCTGAAGAGATGCTATCTGAGCAGAGCCCTGGATGAAGTAAGGGAGTGAGACATGCAGATACTTGAAGGAGCCATGGAACAGCAAGGATGGTGCCACAGGTGGTACCTTGGAAAAGCCCAGACATGGCACCAGAGTGCTGGCATTCAGTCACACTGGTTTCTGTTAACTTACTTTCAATCAGATTATGTCCAACCAAGTCACCTGAAGCTCACCAGATTACTATCTGGGAACTTCTTCCATATACCATGTTTACCCCTAAGAAAGGCACTTCTTGTGGGCAGAGGAAAACATCTGGGGAAGTCAGTCTCGGATCCTATACATTCCTGGTATTTTGCTAGTTCAACCACTGTGGACAAGTGTAACCCAGCTTTCCGTGGAGTCATTGCCCTGCATAACCTGGATAAGACTCTAGGGCTCTGTCTGAGCTCTGAAGCTGCTTCAAAAAAGCCACATCAGAGGTGAGCTTGATCAGACAAAGACCCTTCCATGGAGCAAACAGTGTAGGAGGGTACTGCCTTGTACCAGGGCTCTCACCTGTTTACAGCAAGCTTCACATGCCCGCAGAGCCTGAGACCAGGCTCAATTTCACAACCGTGGAACCTGCTCATGCTTTCTTGCTCAATGAAGCCCCACACCTTTTGGGGAGAATATAAAGACCATTAAAATATGTCAGTTCTCAAGTTTATGATCTAGTGGAAGAGATGGACAATGTTCCTGCAGTAATAAATGTCATGAGTGGTACATGGTCTAAGGAAATATGAAAGAACAAGAGATTGCTTTCAATTGGAGACATGAAATCAGGTACCATATAAAGTGTCCAACAAAGTCCCCAGCACTTAGTAAACACTCGATAAATTTTGGCTGTTATACTATGATCAGGATTGGCTTCACATAGGAAGCAACATTTGAGACAAGGTAGGATTGGCAGACATATTACAGGATGCCTAGTTAAATATGCATTTCAGATAAACAACAGCAACACATTTTTAGTATGAATACGTCTGAATATTGCATGGGACAAACTTACACTAAAATATATTTGCTGTTTATCTGACATTCAAATTTAACTAGGCATCCTAGTTTTTAATTTGCTAAATCTGACAACTCTTAGACAAGAAAATTTGATATGGAGATGAAGATCGGGGAAAATAAATTAGCATGTCCAAAGGTACAGAAACTGGAAAGAAATAATCATTGTTATTGGAGAACATAAAGTGCTATGAAAATACTATTTCTTTCCAGTTTCTGTACCTTTGGATATGTGGCAATCTGAGGGCTTTGCAAGGATTAACTCATTTATTCTTCATAAAAACATGTGCGATAGGTTATTACTATCCCCATTTTAAAAATGAGGAATCTGGGGTATAAAGAGGTAAAGTAATTTGTCCAAAAGTGGAGCTGGGAAATGGTGTAGCTGGAACCATGAACCTAGGATGTTTGGCTCCAGGGGCTGCTTGTTTTAACCATTCTGGATAGAGGAAGATTATCGAAGGCCTTCAGGATCAGCTCATCACCACAGTCAGTCAAAAGTCAGATCAACCAACCATAATTCCTGCATAAAGTGAAATCTCAGTTGTCAGATCTCTGCCGGTGGGCTACAGCTAGCCTGCCTCCACCACCCTCTATATTCTTTCAAGTACTTGAGTAGAGATAGGTCCTCCCATGTTCCCCTTTGCATTCCCAAAGTCACCCTGTTCCTGGAATGTGGGATCTTCCACGAACTGGGCTACCTTTGCAACAGCTTATCTGAAGCAAACAAGCTTAGGGAATTGAGCAAGGACTTCTGGGACACCAACTTTACAGAAGGAGCAAGGGATTCAGGGTGCATGTTGACTGTGTCAACGGGACAAAGATAATGATTAATCAGACCTCCTGCAGACTTAAATGGGATGGGAACTCGCGTGGAGGCAGTCCTCCTTTCTTTCAGCTGGAATTCTCCTCTTGAGCCAGCCCCACCCACGGCAGAGATGGTTTCTGTGAGGGTCCTCTTCCTGGTCCTGAGTGTGATGGGCGCAGTTCAGGTATGGCCTTCTTTATTTCCTCTTCTCTTTCTCTCTGGTGTTTATTCCACAAAGAGCTTGCAGGTCTGAGTCAGCCATGTGTACGTCCTCACACACTGTTAGCTTTATAAGCTGTAGCCAGTGGAGGCAAGTCCCTAGATGGGCTTGACACCTCAAGAATACAGGGTAATATCACCCTCAGAGGGAAACTTAGTGGGACCAAAGCGTATAAATTCACAGGGGAATCTTTGACACCTATAACTTGGTCTTACATTGGATTTTTTCAAAGAGAAGAAATTTTTGCCATCTTTGTTGCTGTAAAGCCTTAGGATTGCTAGTTAACAGAACAGAACATTCTTATGATAAGAATTTTTAACCTAGTTATTATTTTATTGCTATTTGTCCATAATAAGCAGAACAGTGGTTTAATGTAGCTTTTCTGAAAGGTTGTTTTTGTGTTTCTTTAAGACAAATAAAAAGCAAATTAGTTATCTTTGAAAACATATTACATAGCAAAATTGGAAGAGATTAATTGATAGGCAATAATTTTTTTGGAAGCAATTGTATTCTTTTAAGATAATTATAAATATTGCAATAATTCCTAAAGTTTGACTCCAGAGACCTATGCAAAAGAAGAGAAACATCATTCAACAAGATTTTTCAACTTCTATCTTATAAAAACATGGTAAATATGTTCCAAAATCTCAGTTACTTCCATACTGTGAATTATTCTGTTTTATTTCTTTTCCTTTATTGCTCATAAACCCTAATACCAGAGCAGAAGAAACTAAAGAGTGTTTCTAACATAATTTTCTCCCTTATACAAATAATAAGTAAATATTTTTATGGGAAATAAGACTAACATCATTTGTTAAAGTTATACTTTGCATAATGCATGTTTCATTTATTTCTCCCTTATTGGTATAAATATTTAATTTTTGCCTGTTTTTATTTTTGTGCCATTTTTTTCCAATGTATGTTTGAATTTATGATTTTATTTCTTACACAAAAAGATTGTACTTGTTCATTTAAATAAGTTGTTCTTGATTGCTTGAGTTAATATTACTATTATTGGGGTATTTTTTTGAATGAGACAGAAAATGTTAACTAATTATAAGAATAAACTACTGAGACTGATAGTCATAAAAATCCTTGTAACTTGGTGGTACAAAATAAAAATAGCTAAAACCTAAAACAAACATTGATTTCTTAGGATATAACATCTTGTTGGAAGAATATCTATATATCCTATTTCACTTGATCACAACAGATTTTTTTTTTTTAACTCTGTATTTCTAATTATAAGGTGTTCCAAAAAATGTATCAGTCATGGACCTTTTTTTTTTTTTTTTGGCTCTCGGTGTACTTTTTTTCATTTCAAATAAAAAGAAATTATTATGTGAGTAACCCAAAAAGCATTTCTAAGTCTGAATTGGCTACATTTGTGTCATTGTATATACTTGCTCAAATTATAGACCCATAAGGTCATTGTGGTATATACTTGAAGGAGAGACAGACTTGAAGCTGAGATGGTGTAGGTTTTTTCCTACTAAAACAGGAGTTAGAGGAGAAAGAACTCTGAGTTTTTCCATTATTTTTCTATCTCCAGACATGAATGAAAATGTAAAGGCAATTTTTAACTAAGCTTGTTGATTCAAATAATTTTCCTTTTATAATGGATCCTTTAAAACTCCTAACATTTATTAAATGCTTGTTTAGTGTAGAACACAGTTGAGATTTGTACACTCATCTTCTTTAATCTCAAAACTCTACGAAATAGGCATTAGGATTTTCATTTCAAAGATAAGAAACCTGAAACTTGCAGAGCCCCTTGGATCCCTTGCTTGGGATTTACAGGCGTGCCAGCATCTCCTCCTTATCTGCTTAAAGACCTCTCTTTTGTGTGTTTATGAATCCTTAAAGGCAGCAGATCTCAGTGAAGGTGAATTTATCACTGAAGGAGGAGGTGTGCGTGGCCCAAGGCTTATGGAAAAACAGCAGTCTGCCTGCAAAGAGTTGGACTGGCCCTTCTGCTCTGATGAAGACTGGGTGAGCTGTGGGCACAGGGAGTGGAGCAGGACAGTCCTTTCCTGTGCTGCTGGCAGCGCACACAGGCTGACACTTTAGGTCACAAAAAACTTGTCCAGTGGGAAATAATCTAATAGCTCCTTACATATCAAATTAAAGAAGACAGATGGAAAGGAACCTAGTCCTGAGAGCACTGTTTAAATTGCCTCTGAGTCTCTGGGTCATTGGTGGGATTAACAGATTGGATTTTAGTTGTACGTTCAGGCAAATACTAGGAACCTGAGTATTACGACCTCTGGATTTCATGGGTTCTAATTTATGTTTAAGTGGACCCCCATTCCAGAATTTATTTAAGATCTCTGACTAGTCCTCTTAAACTACGTTTAGGTCAAGAGATGATCTGAAGAGACTGGGGAGGGGAGCAGTGGGGGCTCATAGAAACCTTCAAATTTATACTGGATCAGAGAGATAGACTCTTTTATTAATTTTATTTTTTAAAATTTTATTGAAGTACAGTTGATTTACAATGTTGTGTTAATTTCTAGTGTATAGCAAAGTGACTCAGTTTTTTATATATATATATATATATATATTCTTTTTCATATCCTTTTCCATTATGGTTTATCTCAGGATATTGAATATAGTTCCCTGGGCTATACAGTAGGACCTTGCTATTTATCCATCCTACATATACTAGTTTGCATCTACTAATCCCAAACTCCCAATCCTCCCCCCGACCCTCCCTCCCGCTTGGCACCCATAAGTCTGTTTCCAAGAGATAGACTCTTAATGTAATTTTTCCTCTTCATTCCAGAACTACAAATGCCCTTCTGGCTGCAGGATGAAAGGATTGATTGATGAAGTCAATCAAGATTTTACAAACAGAATAAATAAACTAAAAAATTCACTATTTGATTATCAGAAGAACAATAAGGACTCTAACACATTGACCAGGAACATAATTGATATTTTGAGAGGGGATTTTGCCAATTCTAAGAGTAAGTATTACAGTTAGTGATTTGACTTTTTAGCACACAACCAAAACAACAAAAATCAGAAGTAGATATGATGTCTCCTTATTACAACTGTGATTTTATTCCAAAGTACTTTATGTAGAAAAATATACCTTTATGATATCTCTGAATTTTAAGGAAGGGGCTTGTTTTTGTTATTTTTATCATGTAAAGAGGTTAGTTTAGGATTGCTTTAAGGTCACAAAGTAAGTCAGCATTTTGGACCAAAGGCTAGAATTTAAGTGTGTTGTTTTTTAAGAGTATACATGGAAAATAAGATGAGCCCAAACTTTTGAGTAGATACTTCTGTTTCTGTCTAACAAAGGAGGAAACTGAGAGGTCAGGGGACTTTCTCAAAGGCCAAAGGCACAAAGCTATCATGTGGTGGGGCTGGGAGTGCAACCCACAAACTCCACCTAGCTTATTATGAAGTGTTTTGCTTTGTTTTGTTTTGTTTAATTTAAAATATAGAGCCATGTTGTCTCTTTCTCATAGGCCTAGGACTAAGTCTCATTAGGACTAGGAAACTCTGGACTCACTCTGGACCTGGGCAGTGAGTTTAGTAAGGCCTCAGCTCCTGAAACCTTGCCTTGACTCTTTATATCCTTGGGAGGCACTTGGCTAATTTAAAGTTGATGGTGCAAGAGCAACTGGCAAGTGCATGATCCTGTTGACCTAAAAAAAGCTTAGGAACAATTTCAAATCTATAACTGTGAAGAAAACTTTTTCAGTAAGAAAATCCAAGAATATATTCACATCCCTTGATTAAGGATATAATGAAATAATTGGAATGTAATCAAACTGATTATTTTATCTCAATTATGCCTTTAAAATTTCAAAGAGTTTTTGTCTTCTGCATTTATTTGGATTACTAATAAGGCATCTTATGTGATATCCATGGATGACTGCAGGATATTGTCCAAATATCAAATGCCTAATAGATTTAGAAATCCCAAATTAAATGTCCAAACTATTATAGAAGTAAAATGGGGAATATCCATAAGCAAATTTCCTTCTTTTGCTGGCTATTACAAGGAAATCACTCAGCAGCTACTTCAGTACCCATATTTGCTATTTCAGACAATGAAAATGCATTTAGCCAAGTGTCAGAAGATCTGAGAAGCAGAATTGAGATCCTGAAGCGCAAAGTTATAGAACAAGTACAGCATATCCACCTTCTGCAGAAAAATGTCAGGGATCAGCTGATAGATATGAAACGACTGGAGGTGAGTAATTATGTGGCTCTGACCCCAGATTTCTTTGTTTTTGAATAGCTGGGAAAGGAAGGCAATAGTCATTCATTAAATGCCTACTATATGTAAAGCAATGTGTTATAGCCATCATCTACCTACAAAGTAAGTATTATTTCCCCCACTCTACAGATGAAGAAAAAAACTCAGTGCTAGTAAGTAAAATTTCCAAGGACATGTAAAATGGTAAATTTCAAAAGCAAAAACTCAGTCCTTGCGTCTTATTCCAGCCCCTGCTTGTCCCTGACATCACTGTGTCTCTGAGTCTTCAGCCTCAGTCTCACAGAGGATCACATCATCAGTGTCTCCTTTCAGAGGGAATAGCACTTTGCTCTTGATCTATTCTAAGATAAATCCAGATGTTCCTATTGCTTATCCTGACCAGCCTTAGAATACCCAACTTCTCTTTCACTGAGGATACTACATAAATGAAGTATTGGTTGGTAGGTCTCCAAGTCAAAGAAATGAAACCAGTTTCCAAAAATTAAATTAACTGCTAAGAACTCAATAGACCTAGTTTATTATAGCTACCTTTTTTCTTTATCTTCCCCTCCCGCTCTAGGTGGACATTGATATTAAGATCCGATCTTGCAAAGGGTCATGCAGTAGGGCTTTAGAACATAAAGTAGATCTGGAGGACTATAAAGATCAGCAGAAGCAACTTGAACAGGTTACTGCCATAGACTTACTTCCCTCTAGAGACAGTCAATATTTACCACTGATAAAAATGAGGCCAGTTCCAGGCCCGATTACCAGAGAGTTCAAGAGCCAGCTTCAGGAGACCCCTCCAGAGTGGAAGGCACTGCTGGAAACGCAGCAGATGAAAATGGAGTTAGAGAGGTTTGGTGGAGATGGGCATGCCAGAGGAGACTCTGCATCTCATGGAACAGGATCAGCACAAGAAAGCCCCAGGAAGCCTGGAACTGGAAGTATTGGAAATGTGAACCCTGGGATCTATGGATCTGGAGGTGCTGGCACTTGGAACACTGGTCATCCTGATCCCGGAAACGCTGGCACTTGGAACACTGGACGCCCTGAACCCGGAAGTGCTGGCACTTGGAACACTGGCCATCCTGAGCCTGAAAGTGCTGGCACTTGGAACACTGGACGCCCTGAGCCTGGAGGTGTTGGCACTTGGGGCTCTGGAAGTTCTGTGTCTGCAAATTTTAGGCCAGATAGCTCAGGGCATGGGAGCATCAGGCCTTCCAACCCAGACTGGGGCACATTTGAAGAGGTGTCAGGAAATGTAAGTCCAGGGACAAAGAAAGAGCTTCACACAGGAAAATTGGTCACTACTAAAGGAGATAAAGAGCTTCTGATTGGTAGTGAGAAGGTCACCCCTGGTCACACAGCCAGCACTCGTCGTTCATGCTCTAAAATCATCACAAGGACTATTACACATGCCGATGGTCGCACAGAAATGACCAAAGAAGTGGTAAACTCCGAAGATGGCTCTGACTGTACTGACACAGATTTAGACTTGCAGTTGTCTGGCAGGGGTAGCCTAGATGATTTCTTTCATAGGCACAATGATGGTTTTTTCTCCTCTACGTTTAAAGAGCTTGACAGTAAGATCCATTCTATGGGCTCAGACTTAGGGGATATCAGCTCTCACCACCTCGGCATACCTGAGGTCTCTTCCAGTAGTAAAACTTCAAGTCATGGCAAAGAGTTTGCAAGCAGTAGCATGACTATCAACAGAGGAGGCTCCACGTTTGAAAGCAAGGGCTATAAAATGGCAGATGAGGCTGGAAGTGAAGAGGATCTTGGCTACAAAGGAGCACATGTCACCAAGAGAGGCCATGCTAAAACTCGCCCTGCCAGAGGTATCCACACTTCTCCTTTGGGGAAGCCTTCCGTGACCCCCTAGACTAAGTTCATTACTCCTACAATGTGTCTCCCATAGCACCTTTACTTCTTTCTTAGCCCTCTATCACCCTTTATTGAAATTACAGGTTTTTGCTTATTTTTTTGTGCTAGACTGTAAGTTCCATGGGGGCAGGGACTTTGTCTATCATGTTCATCTCTGTATTCCCAAATGCTTAGCAGTGTGGAGTCAGCACTCAATAAATACATGTTAAATGAATGAATGAATGAATCCCTCTGGAACTCAATTTAAAATTTGTTTAACCAAATTCTTTTACCATTCAAAATGTGTGCCGTTGGAAATTGTCACTCAACTGATTAATCATATTTTTAGTGTGTGTCTCAGTTGACATTGAGATCAGGTTAAAAACAAGTGATATTAGTATTAAATGATGCTTAGATATCTTTGCTGGTTACTTGCCATTAATCAGGATGTGCAAGTGAAATTCCAAATCCATTGAGAAAAATCCCCCTTGCAATGTGTATGCATAAATGCTACTTTCTTGCATAAGTTCCATCCCAGTGTAAGCACATCCTTTCTCTATAAAGGGAAGGAAGGAAGGAAGGAAGGAAGGAAGGAAGGAAGGAAGGAAGGGAGGGAGGGATGGAGGGAAAGAAAGCCAGTATCTGCCTTCATTTAATCTGGGCCATTTAACTTTGTAAAGTTAAATGAGAGTAAGTTCTTCCAACCAGCTTAATTTTTTTTTTTAGACTGTTATGATGCCCTCCAAACACATCCTTCAGGTGCCCAAAGTGGCATTTTCAATATCAAGCTACCGGGATCCAGTAAGATTTTTTCTGTTTATTGTGATCAAGAGACCGGTTTGGGAGGATGGCTTTTGATCCAGCAAAGAATGGATGGCTCACTGAATTTTAACCGGACCTGGCAAGACTACAAGAAAGGTTTCGGCAGCCTAAATGACAAGGGAGAAGGAGAATTCTGGCTAGGCAACGAATACCTCCACTTACTAACCCTGAGAGGCTCCATCCTTCGGGTTGAATTAGAAGACTGGGCTGGGAAAGGGGCTTATGCAGAATATCACTGGAGGGTAGGCTCTGAGGCAGAAGGCTATGCTTTGCAGGTCTCCTCTTACGAGGGCACGGCAGGTGATGCTCTGATTGAGGGTTCTGTAGAGGAAGGGACAGAGTACACTTCTCATGCTGGCATGCGCTTCAGCACCTTCGACAGGGATGCAGACAAGTGGGAAGACAACTGTGCCGAAGTCTACGGAGGAGGCTGGTGGTACAACAACTGCCAAGCAGCCAATCTCAATGGCATCTACTACCCCGGGGGCTCCTATGACCCCAGGGACAACAGTCCCTATGAGATTGAGAATGGAGTGGTCTGGGTCCCCTTCAGAGGTGCGGATTATTCCCTCAGGGCTGTTCGCATGAAAATCCGGCCCTTTGGGACACAATAGGCTGAAGGAGTGGCAGTGAGAGCACTGTTTCTGTGTTTAGTGAAGAGGAGAAAAAAATAAGGAGGAGATAGGATTCGAGATTCTTTACAGTCTACTAAAAATTCTCGGGTGCTATTTTATTATTCTTTGTACTGTAGCTAAATGTAACTGAGCCATATTAGTGCTTTAAAAAATAAAGGTATATGAACTTTAAAGCTTTAAAATAGCTCTGTGGGTTTTAAAATTTTCATTAAAATGCACCAAGGAACATTCGGTACATCAGGAAGGGGGTGTTGAGTGGAAGGCTCTCTGCAACACTTAAGGGTGGAGTTCTGAGAACGTCTCCATTTCCCACACCACCCAAAGTCATGGGGTCATTGTAAAGTAAAAAAGTAATTTCATCCATTCTACCTGAATGGTTTTAAACCAATATCTTAAGTTGCGAATCATTGAACTGAACACTGGCTGGCCTTTGTATAGGAATTTACAAGTTACTAAGTACACTCATCTCTTCTGTTGGCAAGCGAATTCAGCAAGGCAGGAGAAGCATTCTTTCCTAACAGAAATAGAGATCTATCTACTTCTTAAGTCTTCCAATGAAGACCATAATGTACATAGAATTTTTTCCCCAGAGTCTAACCAATTTCTTTCAGAAAAATACACAAAAAAAAAGCATTTAAAATCTTTTAAATATTTACAAGTAGTCCAAAAACATTGAACTTACACATTAAAAAAAAATCCCCACAGCATTCATTTGACTTCATTTTTCACCAATCATAAAGTATATCCTGTGATATAATACTTGTTATTAAAGTAAGACATTTGCTTGAAACCATCTCACTAAATATGATCTATGCCATATCCATAAATTCAACATATTTACATTGGTCAGTATTTTATTTGAACTAAAAATAGATCATCTTTGATCTTGGTGAACTTGGCTCCTGGCCCCAATTTTTTTTTTTTTTTTTTTTTTTTTTGG